AAGAGGAAAGGGCATTGGGGCATCTGGCCCTGTAGCCTCAATCCCAGAAGCCCATTGTTATTTCAGCGGTGGGTCATACTGGGCCAGCCTCTCCCAACGTATCACACCCCTTCCCCTCCCAAACCTCTCGTAGCTCCCTGTGGCTGGCACGTCCAGGCCCACCTATGTGGGCCTACCTCTGACTAGGTCTTCTTCCATTCAAAGTTCTCTCACCCATGGAAAGACGTTGGAGCCTCTACTCTGCCAGTCTTTACCTGCAGGGGTACCTCGTTGAATCAGCAGATCATCTGATAACACAGCTCCACCTTTCTGTGTGGCTTTGGGCTCATCTGTTCCGGACCTAGGCTCCCATCTGACAGGTAGCGGTTGGGCTGTACCGTGTCTCCAAGGATCAGACTTCCAGGTCTGATGACTCAAGGTTGTGCATCCTTATCTTTCTTATTCCCAAACTTCTTTGTCTTTTCCAGGCCTCTTCCCAGCTCCTGTTCTCATTTCCCTTTCCGTGTGGCCAAAGCCCTACTCTGGGAATTTCCATCATGGCGGCAGTATTCCCTCAGTGCACACTGGGTTCACTCCAGGGCATCGTCCTTGGGCACTGGCTTCCCCCTCTCCCGGCCACCACCGTGTCTCACCTGGATCACTGCGATGGCCTCCTAACTGGTCTCCCTGCTTCTTCCACCCTCGTCTTCATTGGTGTCAGCACAGCAGAATCCTCTTATGATGCAAGTCACATCACGTCACACCTCTGCTTGGAGTCCTGGTGCCCTATCACGCAGAAGAGAAGCCAAAGTCTTTCTCTGGGCATCCCCTGAAAAAAATCTGTAATCTCAGCACTACCTTTGCCCATCCCTCCCCTGCTGTCTCCTCCTGCCCTCCCCTTCACTCTGTTCCAAGCGGACAGAACATGGCTGCCCTTGCCTGCGCTTTCTGCCTGGGATGCTCTTCCCTGGAGATTCAGGGAACTCCTCCCTCCCCTCCTTTAAGGCTTTGTGTGAAGGTCAGCTTTTCTTGTGAGGCATCCCCCCCCCCCCCCCCCCCCCCCCACTTAGGCCTCTCCCTCTATTTAATTCTCCCTATTTATTCCCTCTACCACTCAATTCCCAGTTTACAGGACTGTCCCTCCGCCAGTCCTCCCTCTTCCCCATCCCACCTCCTTCTTCTCCATAGCCCTCGTCTCAGAGCACACCCCGGAGTTTGTTTGCAATTTTCCTGCTGTGGAACACACGGAGGCAGGGGGTCAGCCTCTTGGGTTCACTGCTGGGTCCCCAGTGCCGGATGCCAAGCGTGCAGTTAATAAACAGTTGTGGGATGGCTGGACGAACCTGTACTTTGGTTGAACTTTGGTCCTGCGTATGAGCAGATGCTGTCACCGCCCCAGGGGTGAGATGAGCCACTATTCCGGGGACATGAAGGCTGGTGAGACACTGTTGGTGTCTCACTGCTGATGAGACACCGTCAAGCTGACTGATGGCTTTAAGAACAATGGATAGGTTTGCTTTTGACTGCTGATGAGGCCATCTCCCTTCCCCACCCTTTTCAACCCAAACCTATTTCCTTTCCTTTCGTGTCCTATATTCACTTTGGGTCTGGAGTCAGAGTTGGCGAACCGCTTCTCCTCCTGGCCCCTGCCTCCCTTTCTCTACCCATTCAGCCATTCATCAGGGCATTGTGATTCTACCTTGTAAACATCTCCTCCACCTGCCACCCTCCACCCTCCAGCCCCTGCCCTCGGCCACCCCCCTGGCCACAACTTCCCTGCTGGCCCCTGGCTCACTTGCAGGCCCATCTGCCTGCAATCCCATCACCATGCTGTGCCTCAAACCCTCAGCGGCTCCCTGTTGTACTGCTGAAAACTGCTTGATAGTCTGGCCCTGCCAGCTTTGCCAGCCTCATTCCCTCCCAGCCTCGCCTGTTGCCCTCTGGCCGTAGGAGCTGCCAGCAGCGCCCCAAACTTGCTCTCATTGCGTTACCACCATGCGTTTGTGCCAACCGTCTCCCCCACCCCCATGTTCTCACTCCCTCACCCTTCACACTGGAGACTCAGCTCAGGGACTGCTCCTTCCGGGAGGCCATCCCTTACACCTGGGAGGAATTAGGGGCCTCTCTAGTGGTCCCACACTGGGTCATGGCCAGTGCCTGGCATTGCACAGCATCTGCCTAACCCTATCACAGGTGCTTGATAAATATTTGTTGAGCAATATTTCACAGCCTGCCTATGATTTGCCTATGAGAGTCCACTCCATAGTCTGGGTCATTCCAATCTGTGATTTAAAAAATTTGTTCAGCATGTTTTTATTGAGGACCACTGGTGCCAGGCACTAAGTGAGGGATCTGGCAGTGAACATGAATGAGAGATTCCTGGTCTCAAGGAGACAGGGATGGGTCCAATTCACCTTTGGACCCCAGCAGTGGGCACAGGGATTTGCACAGAGTAGGTTCTCTCTCAATGTCACCTGAGTAAATACACAAGCCCTCTCTCTGACTGTTGGGCAACAATGGACACAATATCATCCCTATGCTCTCTTCCACTAACAGGTGTTTTACTCCCTGCTCATAGAAATGGATAGAAACATCCCGATTCTATACTTCCCTCCTTCTCCCCGGTGACTTCAATCTTGGAAATTAACAGGGTAAGAGAGACAGCCACGGTGTCAAGGGCACACTGACCCTCATCGAGCTTCTTGGGCAGGTCCTTGGACATCGCTGAGCTCATTTAGCTTTTCAGATGGTGGAGCTGAGCCCCAGAAAGGTGACTCCCAGGTCTCATGGCCAAGAGGAGCAGCCGGGATTGTAACGCAGTTTTGTCTGGTACCCGAGCCTCTGCTGTCCAGGGCCTCACCCTACAGGCACTTCCAGGGGCAGAGAGATGTTCAGAAACACCTTCTGCTCCTCAGAGAGTTGATGGCAGGTGGTTTTGAAATGGAAGGACCCCCATGAAGCTTGGCAGAGCAGCGCAGAAATTAAGAGCATACATTGTTAGTACTTAGACAACTTGGGATGTAATTCTTGTTGCACCATGATGGGTTATTTAGAGCAACGTAAAGTCTGTGAACCTCAGTTTTTCTGTCTGTAAAATGGGGATGGCAAGACCTACCCCAGAATGTTGTGTGAGGGTTGGGTGGCATAAAGATGTGAGGTGCTTATCGCGGTGTCTGGCACATGGTAAGTGCCTAAAAACGTGATTAAGGGTGATGTAGGAGAGACGCTGGCTGGGGCGAGGTGGATGTGGTGTTTCTTGCACTACCAGTACTCACCTCTAGATGGAGGCAGGAGCCAAAGAAAAAGCCTCTTGGGTTATGCCCAGTGGGCTGTGAGCCTCAGGTCTCCAGTGACCCACAGCACTTGGACCAGAACAAGAAAGACCCAGCGAGGTCAAACAGGAAAGCTTCTGGAGCTGGAGGAGCCCTTAGGGGTCAGTCGGCACAGGTGGGGAGACTGGGGCCCAGAGACAGAAACAGTGGAGTCGAGGCAAATTAGGGGTAATGTCTGCTTCTTATAGCAAAGGTGTCCAGGAGTGATGGCGACATTGTCCCTTTAAGTACAGAAAAAATACTCTGTCCTGCTCTGAGGTCTGACCTTTGAGGCTCACTCACCTGTAACTGGTAGAGAAGAGAGGAGGCTGTGATGTCACAGAACCAGGGAAGCAGAGAATGTTGGGGGTTTGCCTGGACCACGATGTCAGGGAGGAGGGGGGAGGTCTACTGACCCTTTCTCCAGTGGTCTGTCCTTCCCTCTGTGATGATTCCATACTCTCCACCACGCCCATCAGATCGGCTGGGGTGGTTCTGCCTCATGTGTCTCTTATCCTTCTTGGAATAGTATGTTAGCTGGGCATGTTCTTCTCGGGGTTGGAGGGGGAGGTTTCGTAGACACTTAAACTAGTGAGTGAAAATTTGATGAGCAATGGGCTGTTCAGAGTCTCTCCCCAAATGACTTACTCATTCCAAAGGGGAAAATAGTAATTTGCAGTGGAGAAGCCTGGCAGCAAATACCAGCTTAACCAAGTGATCTGATTACTGTCACCAATGGCAGGACCTACCTACATCACCTACATCATCATATGTCCCCTCATATGATGCACTGGGGAGGATACAGTGTTGCTTCTCTGGTCTTCCTGCCAAAAAAAAAAAAA